AATATATATATATATATATATATATATATATATAAGACTATAGTATTGTTAAAATTTAAGATTATTAAATTCTTATCGGTAGGTTATAAATTGTTGCGTATATACGAAACAATGAACGCGATAATTTGAGTATATAAGCTTTGATTTGACACTACTTTTTTTTCCGTGTATATAAGTCAAAGTAAGGTACTTTGTATTTAATTCGGTTATATTATGTAGAAACTAAAATTAATTCCCCGCGACGTTAATTTCGATGTAAAGCAGGTTTGAAATATCGTTACATTTAATAACGTAAGAGTATTATAACTTCTGCAGAGAGATGGATGCGTTCATTTATGACGGCACAGTCCTGGACTATTTGGTCGCGCAGGACGAGGATTGTCGACTGCTAACCGTGGGATCATGGTACGCTATGACGGGATACGGTCTCGCGTTCTCCAGGAACTCAAAGTACCTACAGATGTTCAACAAGCGGCTATTGGATTATAGAGATAACGGTAACTTTTCGTGCCTTTTTCAGATATTTTGAAAAATACCTTCATCTAACAAAAGAATTCTTCCCGTCTTCTTAAAGTATATGGATCCACGTAAATTTCACTTGATAAATCCATTACTATCTTTCTACGTTATTCTATCAATTTTAGGAGATCTAGAGAGATTGAGAAGATACTGGATGACTGGTACGTGCAAACCAGGAAAGGAAGTACAAAAGAGTAGTGATCCCTTGGCGTTGGAGCAATTCTTGAGCGCGTTTCTTTTGCTGATGATGGGTATTCTTCTGGCAGCGGTCTTTTTACTTTTGGAGCACTTGTATTTCAAATACATCAGACAGCACCTGGCGAAAAGCGACGATGGTGGCACATGTGCTATTTTCAGTCTGGTAAGTAACGCGGATTTTAATATCGCGAGAATTTTGTTGTAATTTTCCCTGTACTATTTCTTGAAGTAGATCATTTTTAGCTTTATTATTAAACTTGTGTAGAAAGTGACAAACGTTTAAATATTGATAATAAATTTTAAATACTTGACAGTAATATGCAGAAAATATTTAAAAAAAAACGTAATTAAAACTACGTAATAAATTATTTTTAAAGAAATATTCTTTGTCTCTATGCGAAAAAATTGCTTTTTACTTTTTTATCTAAAATTTTTTGCAAAGTAAAATTACATATATATAGCAATATTTGAATATCCAGAAATATTTTTAATATTATTTATATGTGTCTACAAAATTCTTATATACATTTTTATTTTGTTATACGATAATATCTGTATGCGCCGAGTTTCACATGCTTCGAGAGGTTA